GAACTTCTGCTACACTTTTTTTCAAATCAAAATAGTGCAAAAGCACATGTCGAAAAAACACTTTATCGCGTTCCATTTTTCACAAAGCAAAAGAAATTGTTGTTTAGGAAAATAATTGTGTATGCTGACTGAATGTTATCGAGAAATGTCGAAATTAATCACAAACTACCTGTTTCGTTAGTAATGACTACTAGAACTGTTTGCATTGCCATCTAACATTTGCGGGCGGAAACTAAGTTAAGGTCCTAATATATATATATATATATATATATATATATATACATACTATTTTTACTTATACTAATATGAAATACTTTTATTCAAATAAGAAAATATACATTTTCTAAAGATCTGTAGAAAACTTTGATCTTTTATGAAAGCAATTATTTATTCTATTTAAACCAAAGAATTTGGATTTAATACCCACCAAATAAATATTAGTTATAGATATTTTCTTTTAGATATTTTTTCGCTCAGAAAAGTGTGGCGATTTTAATGATCTTTTAATTACTTATTCCTGTGACAGAAGTCGACAGCCACGTGTCTGCAGAAACACAGATATTTGAAGTTTCTAAACTTTTCGGCGTAAGTACCTTGCCACGGCCACATTACACTCAATGTGACCGTACTTTTATCTGGCACAGTCGTATCATGGACGGAATAACACAACGGGAACGGTGCTTATCAAAGCTATTCGTACTAAAATTTTATCTGCGCTCGTCTGGCACTCAACAAGAATCAACGCCGTTTTATCACACAACATTCTCTCTTCTGATATTGCAACCGGAAAGAAAAAAAAATATATATACATATATATATATATATACATATATCGAATCTCGAATAATCCATTCAACTCTCTGGACGACGCGCGTGCCCATCTATTAGTTTGTTAATTTCAATTTTATCACGCGTGCGTACGCGCGCGTATTTATCCGTCGATCAATCGTCATTAGTTAAGAGACTCGTGCGCATGGGGCAACGCGACGGATTAATTACAATTTTATATAATTTGATGAACGTAGCCATAGAGCAATCACGGCAGAAATAACGCCAGCTCGATTTCCTCCGGTGGGAGTCGGAGTGTTTGCAGTCACGCGCGCGCGTGCATGAATCGCGAATCACTCGATAAGAACATATAGCGAGGGCCGAAACGTAATATATTAAATTTTGCTTCCTTATCAAGAGCGTTATCGGCGAGACGGCAAAGGTAATTGAATATTTCAGATCGTGCGTCACGCATCACGATTCGTCGCACTGAATTCGCTTTTCCTACGAGCTCATCGAATTATTTCATCGATTCCGCTTGTTTACGCGTCGGTCATGCGCGCGCATGTTTGTGTGTGCGTGTGTTTGTTTGCTTGGCTGGTCAGTCATAAACGACGACGAATAAAAGAGAGTTTCCTACTTTTATGCAACGTCACACGTGCCAATCTTGTTTTGCGAATAATACAGTCACGAAATCAGGCGCGACGCGCGATACAAGATTTTCGGCGGAGGCGATAGCACGGATTTCGCGCGCGCACAGAAGCGAGTCGGAAAAACGTCGGATATTTATCGCGCGAATAAATGAGGATCGATAGTAATCGTCGACAACAAAGTTAAACGCCACGACGGGGGCCGAGCTACAAACGATTATCGGCGATATCGCGTGATGCGACGCTGGAAAAAAAGCGGACCTCCTATCTTGTCGGAATCGATACACAAAGGAACACGTCGATTGCAATTACCGGATTCGCTCGCGAAGCCACTTTACCGTGACATTATCGAACTTAATCCTTTATCACGACTCGGTATACATCCAACACGCCGCGATACTGGTATGTATCCGTAATTACATCGGATCTTAAAATAACATATTTATATAGATATACGTAAGTTACCGTATCGTGAGAGAAAGAGAGGAAAGGGGAACGAAGACTCGTGTACTACTCGAGCGTCTAGACCGTGTCGATCGTCTGTGAAGACTCTGAATACGTAGGTCAGTCAAGGTAGATTGATCGCCGCATGGAGAGATCAGTGCGCTACTTTGGTATGAATCAATACCTATTTAATAGCACATTTTGCACAGGCTGATTTAGGAAGAAAGGTCAATATTCAGGAAGGTCATGGTACCGGGCCTTGTAAGCAAGAAAATTCATACGAATATATATCTTACACACAGAGAAAAGAATGAGTTGCATAATAAATATTAGAATGATATAGTTTCTAATATTTATTATTCAAGTGATAAAAATTCGTTATAGTTTATAACACATTTAACAAAAATTTCGCCGTCAACATCCAATGCACTTTGCAATTTGCGTGAGATGGCTCATCTGAGCTAATCTTGAAATTCTTTTATGCGGCAACAGCATGCGATTTTCGTGTACGCACTAGAACAATAATGTCACTTGAACAATACATATCAAAAGCAGTACGAATATCTCTTTTTTTTCGGCAACAATTTTGCAACCGTACAAACAGCTCTATCTCGGCAACCGTTCGGCGTAAAGCACATGTTCATATGAACTTTTTGCTTATAGGGATCGATACTATGACTTGCCAGAATATTGACTTTTCCTCCTGAATTACTCTGTATATGTTTCTTTTGGAATTTTCTCTCTCTCTTTCTCTGTCTCTCTCTCAGACGATAAATTTTACGGTACAACAGATACACGTATATTACGACAGATACATCTGATTCCTCGCGAAAATGCTGATCGCACGGTAGCTGCCCCCGCACGGGGGACAGCCGGATGATGTATCACCCATAAATAAATCAGTCGGTAGCGATCGACGCTGAGATGAGCAGCCAGGACGGCGCGACGGGACGCTGTACGGCCGTCCCGAGAGGCCATCTCTAGTACTGTGAACGACTCACCACGTTTAAGCTTCTCCAGCGGCTCGTGGTGCAGCTGGTGGCTGGAGTTGTGCAGCATCGAGGTGTCGTGATGCGAGTTACCGTGCAGGTCGTGATGGTGCATCGCGCCCTGCAGATGATCGCCGTGGAGACCGGCCATCGAGGCGGTCGCCGCGGTCGCGTGCTGATGGTGCGGCACCGAGAGGCCGCTCGCCGGCCCGGTCACGAGATCCTGAAGACACAGATCCGCGTTGCCGCCACCGCCGCCGCCTCCGCCTCCGCCGCCGCCGCCGCCTCCGCCCCCGGCGAGTTCGAGGCTCCCCCCGCCCCCGCCGCCCCGCTCCATGCTGTAGAAGGTTAACGTCGTGTTGACTGTTCCTTACGACTCAATGTACAATCAACCTGGCCCACGATCAGGCCGCGAATCCCGCCGGTCTTTCGCCCGCACCTCGTCCTAGGGACACATTCAAGCGTCTCCTTCGTCGCGGAGCTCGAGAATTCGCGTGATTTGCGTTTCTTAAGGGTGTCGGCGACCGGTCGAGGGCATCCGACGCTTCGTTTCCTTCGTAGAGAATGCGGTCTCCACTCGGCGAACTGTTTCCTTCTCAGAGAACGCAGATTCCACCCACACGGACAGCTTCGACACGTCGAGCCGCGTCAGAGTCTCTGTTGGTCAGCGACTCGGTCAGCGTGATGATCGTTGACGTGGTTGGGAATTGGTCGGTAGATCCTGTTTACATAGGTTTGCTAGGGGTTTTGGTGTGTTTCACGCGGTGCGACTTCTTTTAGGAAGATTCCTTTAGGAAGGATCACAGCGCATTCGCCGTGCCGTCGCGCTCTTCCACTCGCGTTAACCCTTATGCTTCGGTTCCTTGACGAACGAAGTACGCGCGAATGCGACACTGTGCGCCGTCGGCATTCGAGATCGCTTCTGGACCTCCGTGGATGGTTATGGATTCGTGTGACAATTTGATAAAACACTACGAAGCTCACGTCCGTGAAATAGAGGTGTGACAAATCAAATGACCAAGTCGCCGTTGTCACGTAAAAATAAGATGATGCGATGAGGAAAGAGTGATAAGAGTCATAGAATCATATAATATCGAAATAGGTTAAACTATCAGCACTATCACACTCGCAACAGTGGCATCTCCCGATTTCTCCACATTTGACGTTTTTCTCTCGTTTTCCCGTTTTCTCAGATTTTCATCTTTCGATATACTTTCCTCTGGTTGTTTCAACAGCCTCTTATCGTCATGGACTGCCACAACTCGCCACTGATGACCTGATCTCGTCGATATCACCTTCACGTATCGTATCTCGTGTAGTTTCTACGTTTGCTATTAGTGTTTAGCAAAGGTGTTCTTGGGGCGAGATTCCGTAGGCCGTCAATGGAAAAGACGTAGGCAGATTTCCACGAGGTATCCTCAGCATCACGTCGACTACCACTATTCTCTAGGCCGGCCTCTATTTCTCACGTTCTCCAGTAGGACCTTCACCAACAACTAAGCAACATTCACCGACTCTTGTCACCGATCAGAATCACGCCGTTGACGACGTTAGCGAAGGACGGACGCGGCACCTCTCCTCTCGCAACACCAAGACCTAAACTATCACAACTTCCGGGTCCTGGTAGCCCGCCCTCCACTCTGGAACTCCACTACATAGATTTACACGCGATTCGGCGCGGCTCGCCGTCCGTAAGGGCGGCCCGGATAGCCTCTTTCTCGCGACGGTCACGCGGACGTCGCCGTGACCGCGAACAACGACGACGACGACGACAACGACGTCGGACGTCGTTGACACGAGCGCGTCAGTGATGACGGGACCGCGCAGCACTAACGTCACTGGTTGCACCTCCGCCCTTAACGCCGCCGGCCGCCGGTGTCAAAAGAGATGCGTCGTCGGAGAGGAGAAGCGGCGGAGCGGGACACGGAGATGGAGGAAAATTATAAGAAGAAGAAGGCGGCGGCGGTGCCGCGGATCGCAGCGGTGTACTCCGATTTTCCCGCTGGTGGATGGGACGGTGTAGTGGCCGCTGCGTAAGTCGGTGGTAGGTGGGTCCGCCAGGCTTAGCTGGTTGAGCCTTTCGGACTGCCTGCCGGCTTAAGTCTCTAAGTCGGTAAGCCGAGCGGATCTAGTGGTCTTGGCTGGTGCACTGGCTGCCTGCTAGCTTGCCTGCCTGCCTGGCTGCCTGCCTGCCTGCCTGCCTGCTTGCCTGCCCTGCCTTCCTTGCCTTGCTTGCCGGGCGGCCTGCCTGACTGTCTGACTGCGCCTCTCCCTCCGGCTCGCTCGCTCTTACTCCCCTCCATCCGCTCCTTCTCTCTTCACCTCCACACACCCGGCTGGCTACCCCCCCCACCTAGCGCATCTCGCTCGTTCTCCAGCGTCTCTCGCACTCTATAGCAACCGCACAGCTCTCTCCCCCTTGGCACGATCTCTCACGCCTGTCCTCCGCTGCCCGCGCCTTTCCTCCCTCGGGCCGTCCAAGTTCGATTGTGTCTCTTTTCGTGTCGCGGGCTGCGCGATTCCCCTTCCCGCTTCCTCGCGGATCGTGTGTGCGTCCTTGTCAGCGTAGTGCGGGTTTTCGTCCGCCACGTCTCTCGCGATCTCTTACGCCTCTGTCTTGTCCCTCCTCCGTTTTCCCTCCAGCTGATACCCCTCCACGGCGTCTTCCTCTCACGCAGCATCCCTTCCTCCGGAAACGCACGGTGCACCTTTCTCTTCGCACTTCGCGTTTGTGGTGATCACGATCTCTAGCGTAGGCTACCCGGTTTCGTATGCATGCGTGCGGTCCGGCAGCAATTCTTAGTGCTGAGTCCGCTGTTACTTCTTCTTCTACTTCTTCCTTTTTTTCTTCCGTCTCTACCTGGTATTCTGTCCATTGACATTCGCGTTGTCATCTATCTCTCTTATTTTCACCCCACCGTGATCTTTCGCGTCTTTTTTCGCAGCGTAGTTACTTGGGATACGATCACACCGGTTAACGTTTGGCTATCACCAACACGCATCCCTCCCGGCCCCCACCCCTACCTATTTCTGGACTTCAACCCCACCTTTGACCCCTCGTGTTGCCCCTCCTACGCTGGCGACGGTGACCGGCGTGCTTGCCCCTCGAGTGAACGTACACGCACACGTGGTGTGTTTTCTCTCTTCCTTCCTCTGTTAGACTCGTCGCGAGATCTTGCGGATCTTATCGCATTACGACGATTATCGTTTGTTGTTCCTCTTGTACGACCTCATGCTGCCTTGACCATGCAAGATCGCGCGAAATCCACCAGCAAAAGCCTGACGATCACCCTTTGCTTTCGTATAAAACACGTCGCTATAGCTCCGTCTGTTTACATGGAAGTTCTCATATGCAACACAACAGAGAGGTGACGAAACTGCCTAAATTTCTTGCGCGTTGTTGCGAAGAAACAACTTTTAAGTGTAGGTTACTTCTACATCGTAGAAAGAAAGACCTCAAGATACAAGAAAGTGGAAGTTCCAACATTAATAGATGATGCGACTTGATGGTTTATTATGAAACGTCATCAACAGCTATCTTACGACCTGAAGCAAATTATTGATTATCCGTCATCCATCAAAGTCCGAAAAACAATTCGCATTTTGCTCATGACTTTCACAGTTATCATACTTTTTTACACTGAATATGATCATCGGTCGTATTACTTCACCTTTTGCTCCTCATAGTCATTGAAGTTAAAATCGAGACCGCTGATACACAGTTATCGCTCGGCTTATCAGTCGGAGCAAATATCGAACTGCCTGCACGGATGGTCTGGAGTCGTTTGTATTGGATATTCTATTCGATTCCAAGAGGTGTGCCTTGAGCACGACGTCGCGCTCCGAGTTTATGATTCGTGCGTGCACGCTTGCGCCGGCAATCCCACGGAAAAACGACATCCCCCATCTTATCGAGTTCATTTTCTAAATGATGAAATGTTGGTCGTCACCGACTCAATTTTCAAGGATCCAAGTAACCAGACAAGTCAAAAGATATTGTATCGTCTCTCTCGCTGGTACATTCTCTACACCAAAAATAACTTTTCCTTAATAACGGTAATATTTATCGCACTTTTGAGATCATCAATTATTGTCAGTACAGTAAATCAATCTAAACGTTTTATATAAGAATATTATTTTAGTATAACATTAGATGTCTGTAATAATTCTATAACTATTAATCCTCTTTTTTTTTCCAATCAAACATTTTTGACAAAATACATAAAACATGTACTAAACAGTAAACTCTCATTTGTACGAGTTATAATTATTGTAGCTCGTTCACTTTTTAGGAGAAACCTTTTAGGTATTTATAGTTGGCTCGAAGAAAATATTGGTTATATGCTTTATTTATGTATTTATTGTGCTAATTAAGGATTCGTAACACTTCCTGATATCGAAATATTATCTAATTAGTATCAGGTTAAACTAGGTGCCAGATGTCACACTTTTTAGAATTTCGAAGTTACAACTCCTCATACAACCAATCGTTGTGATCAATTATATAAACATAGTATAGACAACTTACCTTTATGTTTTTATACCCACAATGGTCCTGTAAACCTTTTTCTTCTGTAATAACCGAAATACGAACATACTGCAACATAATCATCTTACTTTAATGCCGAGTTAAATTGGTCAGCGACTCGGGGTAAGAAGTCTACATATAAAATATTTGGATTAGTAGTCTCCGCGAGAGATCTCCAAGAGACCTCCACAATTCTATCTAGGTTAGGTTAGCAGTTAACCAATTGCTGACCAATTTAACTCGACATTAGGGTAAGATAACCATGTTGCAGCATGTTCGTATTTCGGTTACTACAGAAGAAAAAGGTTTACAGGACCGTTGTTCGTATAAAAACATAAAGGAAAGTTTATATAGTTACTATATACACTGAGAGAAAAATTATCTTAAAATCAACAAATATTTCCTTGGTGGGTGCCATTAACATATTTGTTGATTTTAAGATAATTTTTCTCTCAGTGTACTATGTTTATATAATTGATCACAACAATTGGTTGTATAAGGAGTTGTAACTTCGAAATTCTAAAAAGTGACATCTGGCACCTAGTCTAACTTAATACTAATTAGATAGTACTTCGATATCAGGAAGAGTTATAAATCCTTAATTAGCAAAACCATCGTCTATGTAGCGCTCGGCTAGAATTTTGTTTGCCTCAAATTTGACAACGACAAAGAACAGTGAAAGACCAATTACGTCCAAATCACTTTCAACTTCAGAATCACCCGAATCAACCTAGTTTCAAAGTGTGAGCAGTGTTATGCATTCCCCACATATAATATTTGATGTCTCGATAATCGTGCTGCGGGCAATCAAATAACTTGGTGCCGTGGAACTACTTTAAAGACACGACGGCGCCCACCTTACCCTTATCGTAGGAAGAGTTGGCGGCCAGCTAGGTCCGAAACGGTCAACGACGAAGTGGGCCGCGCGTGATCCTCGTAAGAGAATCGTCGGCGGTAAAAGGAAGCTGAGAATGTCGTGACTGGCGTCAAGAAGTTGTCACGCAACGGAACGGAACGACACGGCGCGGCGTGGCGCGGGGCTGGGAAATCGTCTTCCGAGGGAGAGACCGACGCAAGGAGAATGGAAAAGAAGACAAGAAGACAGAGAGAAAGAGAGAGAGAAAGAAGGGGGGGAGAGGGAGAAAAAGAAAGAGGGACAGAGAGTGGCTATCGGTGGCGTAGTGGCGACGGAGGGTGGGTGGAACGCGGCGTTCTAAAGCACTCGATGGAGGAGAACGCGTGGCGGGCGCGCGGAAAACGAAGAGCGCGATACGAAAACGGGGGTTGTAGCGGCAGTACATACGTCAAGCTAGGAACAGAGCGCCATCCCGGGGATCCCCTAACGCCTCGGGGAAAGTAGAGGAGACAAATGACAAGATGGCCACGCCTACCGCGCGGGTGGCGTGGGCGTTATTTGCCGGTGTGTGCGTGTGACTTCGCAGAACCTAGCTGGAGTGGGAGCACAGCGGTGCGACTCGGTGGCGGTCTGGTGGGACGAGGGAGAGAGAGAGAGAGAGAGGGAGAGAGAGAGAGAGAGAAAGACAGAGAGAGAGAGAGAGGGGGGAGGGAGAGAGCGGGTTATGTACGAGGCAGGATCGCGGGGTAGGACGCCAGGCGTTCGCCGGGGTGTCTCCTGATTTTTGAAGCGGTCCGATCGAGTTATGTGGACATACGGCGCGAGCGACGTCATTCGTGACTGAAATGGAAGGACTACACTTGTCGCACACCATCGGTGAATTAAAGTCGAAGACACAGATCGGGGATGGATGTGTTTCGGACGCGAGATGCCGCGGCCACAGGCTGCGGTATTGGTGCGACACCAATACCGCGGGCGAAATGATTTATGCTCGAACTTGAGTCCGGCTGAACGCGGGACGATGATGCGGATAACTGCGGGAAAATCTCTCGGTGCTTCTAATCAGCGTGAAATTCATGCGGCGTCTGGGTCCACGTTGAGGACACGACTATCTTCATGTATCAAGGACGGACAATGTGGACAGACCGAAGTTCGCGATGCGCACAACTCCTATCGATGCGCGGCAGACGTGCACGGGAGAATGGGCCGTTTGTAATATACGGCCGGCCATAATTATTGTAATTCGATAATAATTGAAGGATTACGGATTACGTATGTATATAGGAGGGCCGCCTATGGCACGGCTTTGCGGCTGGCCTCAACACCCCGAAGCTGTCGCACATGATCGCATCGACCATTGGCCTCTCCGGATCGACGTTCAAGCCCGATTCGAACAATCGGCTCGTTCTATCGATAGGCTGAACTTCGCGTAACGATGAGACGTGTTGTCTGTCTGCGCCGTTTTTCTCTATCGTGCGAAGAGCCGCTAACGTACTTGGAAATCGACACGTGTATGAGCCGTTCGTTCGGAAACTCCGGCGAAAGTTACAGCCCGAAGCACCAGCCAGCTTTTATTCGTATTTAGGGCGAACGTGGCCTTTCGAGTTACATTTGTTTCATACTAAAAATTACACGTCGTATTAAATCGTGCGCGGAACATATTCGATGGAATGTCTAGCCTTTATTACGCGCAGTAGAGATACACACGGCGACGCATCTCAACGAGGTGTGTTAACAAAGATCGAAGTTTACTTCTCCGAATTTTTTCACTTGTCATTAACGCACGTGCGTATGAAGTCAGAACTGAAGGAAATCTTGCATTGCGCGCGACTTAATTGACCTTGTAAATCTTATCGCACTTTTTTTTATCTCTTTTACGAGCCACTGCGAATAGAGGCCCACATTACTTAATTGACGCCTGCGATCCTAATTATTACTCCGTGTCATGCGCGGAATTATTGTTTGTGCTTGCCATTTGCTCGATATCGGCGACAACCATAAACGAAGTTATTGCCGGGATGTCATAAAAGGATAAGATAGACATTTATCAGCTACGAACGGTCGCTTGCTCGTTTTATGCCGAGAGAACTCGACTCACGAGCATACACATCCAACGTTAAATATTACCTGCTGGACGATTATTCTGTAACTCGCGACGTAAAAGAGAAGAAAAAAATCTCAAAGATCTCATCGTCGTATTTTGCTTGGCGTCTATTTCCGCCCAAAGAGACGACACAAATCTGAGAATTCAACCGTTTTTAAACAAGTCGCGAATAAATTGTCTAAATTTTCTGAATTTTAACGACACTTTGCATGAGGTATCGTTTGCATAACTACGCGAGATAGGTACGTTTTTGTAGTGCAAAGTCACATTTTCCAGTGTTTACTGCTATTACGGCAAAAACATTGTTTTTCAGTGCGCTTATTATCTAGCGATTGCAAACGCTCGCGGATCGGCGGCCGCTTTTCGTTGAGCAAAACATTAATCGCGCCGCCACCAGAGCTGTCTATCGCGGCCAATCTTTATCTACTTCTTTCGTACGATCTGTGTCGAGATAAAATTTTCCCCGAGCAATTACGGAATAGTTCGAGAAGCGCTCATTAGA